TTGGAATCTGTTGCTGTCAACTCTCAAGATGAGATCCAAAGAGCTGTCACTATCAGTGAAGCAAGCCATCATTAGGCTGAAAAAACAAAACAAACCCATCAGAGAGATAGCAAAAACATTAGGCGTGGCCAAAACAACTGTTTAGAACATTCTTAAAAAGAAGAAACGCACCGGTGAGCTCAGCAACACCAAAAGACCCGGAAGACCACGGAAAACAACTGTGGTGGATGACCAAAGAATTCTTTCCCTGGTGAAGAAAACACCCTTCACAACAGTCGGGCCAGATCAAGAACACTCTCCAGGAGGTAGGTGTATGTGTGTCAAAGTCAACAATCAAGAGAAGACTTCACTAGAGTGAATACAGAGGGTTCACCACAAGATGTAAACCATTGGTGAGCCTCAAAAACAGGAAGGCCAGATTAGAGTTTGCCAAATGACATCTATAAAAGCCTTCACAGTTCTGGAACAACATCCTATGGACAGATGAGACCAAGATCAACTTGTACCAGAGTGCTGGAAAGAGAAGAGTATGGAGAAGGAAAGTAACTGCTCATGATCCTAAGCATACCACCTCATCAGTGAAGCATGGTGGTGGTAGTGTCATGGCGTGGGCATGTATGGCTGCCAATGGAACTGGTTCTCTTGTATTTATTGATGATGTGACTGCTGACAAAAGCAGCAGGATGAATTGTGAAGTGTTTTCGGTCAATATTATCTGCTCATATTCAGAGAAATGCTTCAGAACTCATTGGACGCCACTTCACAGTGTAGATGGACAATGACCCAAAGCATACTGCAAAAGCAACCAAAGAGTTTAGGGGAAAGAAGTGGAATGTTATGCAATGGCCAAGTCAATCACCTGACCTGAATCTGATTGAGCATGCATTTCACTTGCTGAAGACAAAACTGAAGGGAAAATGCCCCAAGAACAAGCAGGAACTGAAGACAGTTGCAGTAGAGGCCTGGCAGAGCATCACCAGGGATGAAACCCAGCGTCTGGTGATGTCTATGCGTTCCGGACTTCATGCTGTAATTGACTGCAAAGGATTTGCAACCAAGTATTAAAAAGTGAAAGTTTGATTTAGGATTATTATTCTGTCCCATTACTTTTGGTTCCTTAACAAGTGGGAGGCACATATGCAAACTGTTGTAATTCCTACACCGTTTCACCTGATTTGGATGTAAATACCCTCAAATTAAAGCTGACAGTCTGCAGTTAAAGCACATCTTGTTTGTTTCATTTCAAATCCATTGTGGTGGTGTATAGAGCCAAAAATGTTAGAATTGTGAATGTTTACATGTTATGTGCAATTAATCCATGGCAACATCTAATGTTTGTGTAGTATTATGTTCAGCAGACTGTGTTCTTCTATTGTTGTGACTTAGATGACGTTCAGAGCACATTTTATGCCCAATTCATGCAAAACTCCACGTAATCCCAAGGGGTTCACATACTTTTTCTTGCAACTGTATGGACCTGACTGTATATAATTTTTTTTTATACAAATAGAGTTTTACATGGGTGGTATTTGATCATCACTGGGTTTTCTTATTTTTTTTGTGATATAAACTAGTGTTCAGCTAGTGCAAGCTTTATAAATGCCAACAAAAAATGGAAATAATCCATGACAGATTTATCATAGCTCTCAATTGTCCCTCTTAAGACCAAATACCTCTGTCCTTTGTGCAGCCTGTTGTCCCTTTTTGATCTGATGTGTTCATTTCTATACAAAATGTACTATTTTATTGCCAACACTGTTATGCTACACTAAACTTCTATTTAACCTCAATATTACTGCATTTGTTATTTTGAAAAGCTAACAAAGGAAAAAGAGGTCAAAAATTCACTTGTGGTTTAGCCCACTGTTTTTCAATCTTTTTGCAGTCAAGGCACCCTTTAAAATTATGGATAATCTCAAGGCATCCCATTCTAAAATGTATAAAACTATTCTACACACATCCATTACACCCAATGTTAGAGGGGATTTATTCTTACAAAGCAAATACACCTTTGCACACTGGTACCGACTAGTATTCCAGTGTGTCTCTCTCAGTTTCTCTCCCTCACTCTGCTAATGTGACCCCAGTGCTGATGGAGAGGGGCAAGCAAGGATGATGTGCATGCACCCAACATTATCTTTATCAACTGATGATGTAATTGATTGTTAGGATGCTGGCAGCTAGAAGGTCATAAAAGTGCACAATGAAAACCTGTGGCTTTGTGTACTAAAAGGCACGATTAATCCCCCTGCTAGCTTGTATACAATTTTTGGGCATTTTTCCAAGAAACCCCTGAAGAAGCCTGAAGGCACACCCTGGTTGAATAAGGCTGGTTTAGCCAAACATTTTTTGCATATTAGATCTTTGTGGTCCATTCAACTGTGGCCATGTCCTTTGCCTACATACTGTGTGCTAAAATGTGCCCCTCGTTGTTTATGAAAGTTGTGAGGATACATGAAAGCTTTTAGCATCTACTGTATGGGAGGCCAGATAAAAGTCTAGAAGGATTAAAGGATAAGTTCACCTTAAAAATAAATAAATGCACATTTTTTGCAAGTAAAATTGTGCATTTATTTACTGTTTTTTTTTTGTTTAGTTGTTTTTTTTTGGGGGGAGCCTGTAAAGAATTGCAGCCGTAATCAAAAGATAAGGGGTGCAGTGTCAGGCTCTATGTGTAGCTATGTGTAGCTGTCTGCCCATACATCCGATATAGGCAGGTAGTTCCTGAATAACAGGAAGATCAATTATTACCTAGAGCGCTCATCAGCGCACTAGTAGTTCATGGAGAACTACAAGCAGGCAGCCACAAAGGCTGATGGAACTTGTAGTTCAATAATTCAAAGAATTCTGTGAATGTATGACGCAGCCATGTGGGCAGCGCCCCACACAGCCACATTATTTTCACATATTGACAGTGGGTGTGGGGAGAATATCCCAGACCTACTGTCACAGGAAGGGGGGGGGGATCAAGAGGAGAGCAGGCAGATGCTGAACATGTTACACCATGGGTGTAACATGTTCACAAAGGTGAACATATGATTTAACTGTGCAAATGTGGCCAGTGGAAAGATGTCAACAGGCCGTAGCCAAGAGTTCCAGGAAAATATGCATCAGGATGATGGGTTGCTTTTGTAAAGGGTAGCTAGGTAGGAAGGATGACTGTAATTTATGTGAAAGTACAGTTATCCTATAAATTCTCAATTCATTCCAGGCTGCACAGCAAAATGTGAACACATCAAAAATTCTAGCATAATGCTGTTCCAACACTCACCAGTACACAGCCACTTGGAAATTAAAATCAGATAATGTAAACAAACACAAGATAACAGTGATAACCAAATAACGCTCACAATATGGGCCATTCGTCTGCAATCATCCTACTGAAGTAGGCACATTGCTGAGTTTCCACATAAAGTAAAAGGAAAAACATTTTCTTTTGTTTCAAATTTGTAAGGAAAGGTTATAACTGCTGCAATTCTTTTTGCCATCTGTGTCTCATTGGAGAGATTTCCATTCACTTCCTGCCCCACACCAAAAATAGAAAGTGAGAGGAAATCCCCCCAAAGTGAAAGAATCCTTGATTTATAAATATATACTCCTGCGCCACAGAACAAACCCCTCCCACTAAAATATAAGATGCTGCTGTGCACTAGTGTAAACACTAAATCATCAAATTAATCAAATAAACAGTGCAATACCCAACAAATGATACATAAAAAAAAAATACTAGTATAAAAATTTAGAAGTGTTCAAAATAAATGTGTCCAACAAACAAAAAAATCTAATAAATTTCACATAATATCCAAATAAAATGAAAAACTCATAATGTGATTTAAAGTGTCCAAAATTAATGTGTCCATCAAAATATCAAAAATCATCAAACTATATATATAACATTATGAAACTTTAGTCTTTTTCTTCAACTTCAAAGTGCTTCACCAAAAACGAATACATTTATAATGTGATTATCCTTCTGTAATAAGTGCTTCCACCATCCACCAGTGAGAAACCAACATTAATCGCACTCACCAGATGTTGGCGAATAGTAAGCCTTTTAGGACTTTTAGGGATCCTACACCCCCTCTTAACACCTCCAGACCTCCATTCCACCACACCAGACTAAGAAGATTCTTCAACTTCCTTTCTCCAAACAAAACACACTCCACCGTTGTGCCAAAGAAAATATAGCATATAGTGTAATATTGCTACTAACTTCTTCTTAAATATATAATAATGATGTCAGGTCATTCATGGTATGCAGCAATATAAAAGGCTCTTTATTATGTAGCCTACAACAGCCAAACATCATCAGGAAACCATCCAGGATATACTGCAGAAATCCCACAACTATCTGTGCAGAGGATGACAATGAATTGACAGACAGACAGCTCCCAAAATGGCCGCTGGAACGCACCTCTCGGCGTGTGTTCCACTCACCGAAAGTGACGTATGACGTTAGTAAAGCGCACCGGAAGTGCGTCAATGCGTTTTGCCCCTCCCACTGGGCGTTCTCACTGGTGAATGGTGGAAGCACTTATTACAGAAGGATAATCACATAAATTTTTTCGTTTTTGGTGAAGCACTTTGAAGTTGAAGAAAAGGGATAAAGTTTCATAATGTTATATATATATTTTGATGATTTTTGATATTTTGATGGACACATTAATTTTGGACACTTTAAATCACATTATGAGTTTTTAATTTTATGTGGATATTATGTGAAATTTATTAGATTTTTTTTGTTTGTTGGACACATTTATTTTGGACACTTCTAAATTTTTTATACTAGTATTTTTTTTTATGTATCATTTGTTGGGTATTGCGCTGTTTATTTGATTAATTTGAAAGAATCCTTGGTTGTCACCAAGGTCACCAGAACTAGTGCCCCCATTGAAGGATTTCCTGTTCTGGTGACGGTAAATAAATTAGTGGCTTTTCAGTAGGATGGTTAAGTACAACTGGTTTCCCTTTTGATTGCTTTAAGCTGTAATCAAACGTACATGTGCTGTCAGTTCTAAAGGTCCCAGTTCTTCATTTGTTGCCTCTGTACACAGTTTTCTCTCTTTCTTGTTTGAGCTGTTTGTGTGACTAGGTGCATGCACCCCCCTATCTTCATCTACTCCATTTGTGTATTTCAAACATGCTTCAGCATCGGGCCTGGCAAGCTTTCTTTTCTTCTTTGACAGTCTGTATTCTGTCTTACAGACGACACGCTTCTTCTTTTTCAAGCCAGCCTGAAAGATAACAGGAATAAAAGAATCCTTATGCGCAAGCAGTTCTATTTTGAGAATAAACAAGTTTTTTTTAGTTTTTATCTGTAAATGTAAACAAAAATAGTAAACATATAATATAAATTTAACTGGGTTTAACCACTTGACTTCTGGAAGGTTATTCCCTTCATGACCAGGGACTTTCAAAACGCACTGCAATTGCGATCTGCAGAGGGTGTCAATTTTAACCAGTTCCTGGCCACGCTATAGCCAAAAGACGGCTACTGCATGGTCTGCTAGTTTAGGGAGGGCGTCCATGGACATCCTCCCAGAGGCGCGCAATCTGTGATCGCTGTGTCCTTCGGACACAGCTGGTCACATGGCTTCGGAACGGGCCAATCACAGCCACTTTTACCATGTGACCAGCCGTGTCCAATCACAGCTGATCAATGGGTGATTAGGAAATGCTGGTTATCAGATGTCCTCTCCTCACACGGATAGCGCGTGAGGAAAGCCAGTAAGCGGCATTTCGCAGGGGGGACATCTACACTGATCAGTAGGGCACTGTAGTCCTGTCAGTGCTGGCAATCAGTGCCCATCAGTGCCATGTAACAGTTCCCATCAGTGCCATGTAACAGTGCCCATCAGTGCCGCCTAACAGTGCAGCCTCATCAGTGAAGGAGAAAAATTACTTGTTTACAAAACTTTATAACAGAAACTAAGAAAAACTTTTTTTTTTTGGTCTTTTTTAGTTTGTTTAGCAAAAAATAAAAACCCCAGTAGTGATCAAATACCACCAAAAGAAAGCTCTATTTGTCTCAAAAAATGATAAAAATTTAGTTTGGGCACAGTGTTGCATGACCGCGCAATTGTCAAAGTATGAGAGCGTTGAAAGCTGAGAATTGGTCTTGGCACAAAAGGCTACTTTTACCAAGTGCCCGGTGGGCAAGTGGTTAAGGTAACTGCACCCCAAATTCAAGTTGCAAATGCAATGTATGTGCATGAAGTGCAGGAAACCAATGATCCGTGCATGTTCCTCGCACCAACTTCAAAATGCACTGCAGCTGCAATCTGCAGCAGGTGTCAATATTAAAGTGTTACTAAACCCATAACCGCAAAATCAGGCTGTATATGCAGTAAAGCATGCTAGTTATACTCATTGTGGAACCTATGGGGTTAATCCTCTGCATTGTGTTTGATCCTGACTTCTCTGATCCTCCCCTTCTTTCAGTGCCCACCTCTTATCTCCTGATAAATCATATTGTGTGGGGACACTCTGCACATGCTCAGTTTGGTGTGTATTGCTAGACAGTTTTTTTTTTCTTGGGAGAGTGCATGTGATCAGCACAGGGCCAATCAGCACTGTCCAGACAGAGGTCAGAGGTTCTGCATCCTCCTAGAGCAGAAATAAAACTCCAAGCTCTAGCCAGTGCTCTGCTGAACACTGACAGAAGTCACAAGACTGCTCTAACTGCTGATGAGAAAAGGTATTTAGCAGTTTATATTTACTAAAATAATTACATTTTCATGTTCTGTGTACTGTGAGAGACCAGATATAGTGAATGAAGCAGGACATGGGTTTAGTTGGGGTTGCCACCTCATCCCTTTAAACCTGAACATAATAATTACACAGGTTCTGAGGCTAATTTAACACAGATAAGGCACGGAGTTTAATTACCATCTAAATCAGTCACAGAACCTTTGTCATTAATATGTTCTCAGGCTTAAGGGGATGAGGTGGCAACCCTAGGTTTAGTAACACTTTAAGGTAACACCACAAAAATGTAGAATGCTATGCTTTATAAATACAATATGAGCAACGCAGTTGAAGCCATTTATACTGAACAAGATCAGGAGACAGGGCTGTGAATAAGGGGGTACCAATTGTCATCCTGTACGGGGCCCAGGCATTAGGGTGAATCAGATGTGAGCAGTGAGGGTAATCAGCACAGCAGGGGGGGTTGCATTTATTGGAACTGGTCCCGTGTATGGATCTCTCTGCAGCACCCTCCCAATGCATCATGCATTTCCCCATTGCTGCCCAAGCCCCTGCCAGCTTCCCTCCTCTCCTTCCCTCTGGCAGATGCAAGAACCCAATAGGATGGAGAGTGAGTGTGGGAAGGGTACATAAATATGTCACATTATTGTTTATTCATAACAGAAGCATAGTAAATGGGAGCTCTGTTACATAAGCTGTACAGGGCCCTTTCGTTTCTAACAGCAGCCCTGTCAAGAGACCTGACCATTACACTACATTCAATGGGCTGCACAGAAGCAAACACTGGAGAGAATCAGGAAATGCTCAAACTGATCTCAAGAGCGAGCATGTTTCCTTTGCCAATCTACACAAGCCCTTATTTGATAGGCCAAAGCAATCACCTGGTTCCAAGACGTGTAAATCTGATTGGTTTCCTTAGCTTACTGTGCTCATCAGCACCTCTTTAACAGACAACTATCACAGTCCTCCAAAGTGAGTAGCAGTCTTGGTTTATTCCTGCTCACACCTCACATGACCTCCAATAAGTAAATACTAACCTGGCCTTTAGTCTCTTTTATATTCTGGAAGGCAGCAAACGCAGACACACGTGGAGCGGCCATGGACATATCACGGAGTTACCAACCAGTAGAAGGACCTTGCTGATGTCACGCGCACATGACCAGGAAGGAAGCTGCCGTGCAATGTACCCGCCCACTCAGCTCTTAGGGAGAGGGGAAGCGTGAGGAGAGCAGTCAGCGGAGTAAAGAACGTTTCCCTTACGTACTGACTGATGAAGTCCCTCCGATCCATTCTATGGAGCGCCTCCATATAGCGGAGTGTAGTCGGATGCATGGTTAGGTGTGTTAGTAGAGTAAGGTTTGCAGTACTCAATGGTAGGCTGGGAGTATGACGCTCCATTCACACAGGACGTTTGCTTTTACAGGCTTTTTGCCTTTTTTTTTTTTTCCCTCACAGTGCGTTCAGAAGCAGCAATGTTTTGGCAGAAAAAATACTGACATGCGCCTAAACACATTTAAATGCTAGGCATGTCACGAGTTTAGTAGTTTAAGTAGAATAAATTAATATTCTGGGCAATGAAATGAATAAACACAAGTGCTTAATGCGCCTAGAAAAACTCTGCTTAAGCCTGGGTTCACACTATAGCTGGAATGTGAATCGCACTGCATTCCTGTACAATTTCCATGTAATTGTGTGATTTGAGCCTGTTCATTTTGCATATTATCGCACTGCATTGCACAAAAAAAAAGTGCAGGCACCTTTTCCTGAGCCGCACTGGAACCGGATCACATGGCCGTTTTGTACCATGCGACCCAGTGCAGGCAGACGCATTGCATTCGGGGTGTTGTGTTAACTTTGAATAGACACCTGCAGTGGATTGCAAAACAGTGTGATTGGGGTGTGGGAAACACACAGATTGCAGTGCTTCCTGCACCGCATGTTTGAACCATGGCTTATGCACATATTTGACACTGCTCTCCTGCCAAGAGAAAGGCATTAAGAGCTCGGCAGACAGCCCCAAGTCCAATCTTTAACAAACTCGTGCAGACTCCACCTCCGCAACATCGCCAAAATCCGCACGTTCCTAACTCCAGAAACCACTAAACAGCTCATCCACTCCCTCATCATATCGCGACTCGACTACTGCAACTCCCTCCTCACTGGCCTGCCTCGCCGCTGGCTATCCCCGCTTCAGTCCATCCTGAATACGGCTGCCAGACTCATTCACCTTTCCAACCGCTCCGTTTCCGCCACCCCCTCTGCCAATCCCTCCACTGGCTTCCGATTGCGCAACGGATCAAATTCAAAATCCTAACACTGACGTACAAAGCTGTCCACCATACTGCCCCGAACTACATCACTGACCTAATATCCAAGTACCGCCCAGCACGCACACTCCGCTCCTCACAAGACCTCCTTCTCTCTAGTTCCCTGGTCTCCTCCTCCCATGCCCGCCTCCAGGACTTCTCCAGGGTGTCACCCATCCTCTGGAACTCCCTGCCCCAACCCATCAGATTATCACCTACTCTCCTCTCCTTTAGGCGCACCCTGAAAACCCATCTCTTCAGGGAAGCCTACCCCGCCCCCTGCTAACTTGCCGACCTCCTCCACTCTTCCTACCACTCCATCCCCCACAGTTATCTCCTCCTGTGCCACCATCCCCTCCCTCCTAGATTGTAAGCTTGAAAGAGCAGGGCCCTCGATCCCCTCATGTTTTGCATTGTATTGGTATTGTTCTGTCCCCTTTTGTAATGTACAGCGCTGAGCGAACTATTGGCGCTTTATAAATACTGAATAATAATAATAATGAGACTATAGGGTAAGTAAAAGTGATCCACACTCAGATCGCTTTTAAGACATGGTTGGCAAGCTTTGAGGAGGCAATATTATGTCTCTGCATGGCCTAATTTAATCCTATAATTTTCATATTACTGCATTTCATGCGGTTGCAGTGCCGTTTCAGTGTGGCCCAGTAGAACTGCATTACTTGCACCACCTGCTTAAAGTGATATGCTGTTTAAAACACAGCATCCCAGCCACTGCATGTGTACAGCTGTATGTTACTGTTCAGGTCAAGGGGGCAGTAATGCTATGGTTCAGCAGCCGCTTTTACCACCCCCCCCAACCCCTAGTTTACACCAAATGTGATTTCAAAGTGGTGCTATTTAAAATGCGCCTTCAAAGTATATACACACACATTATTTCAGTGCCATTTACCTTACAGTCTGTCAGATTAAATCGTACTGAAGTGGAAAAGTGTGAAATGCAGGAGCACTTTTTCAAATCGTGCAACTTGAAATTGCACCTATTAGAACAATACCATAGAAATGCATTAGATGTGACTTCAGGTGCGATTTGAAAATCGCATGTCATAGCGTGTTTTTTTTTGCCAGGTTAAGGGTAAACTGAGTTGTGCAATAAGTATTGGGGTGCAGCTGGATACAATGTGAGATGCGGAGTACTAAGAAATGTGATGGGTGTTAGGCCTCCTGCATACACACTTTCGGGCATCCAACATAATTTTTGGGCCCTGAAGACAGATAAAACACACAGCTGCCCATTGCAAATAATGTGTTTGCACGTATACCCTGTTTTTTGCGCACTCACGCGTCAGCATTCTGGAATATAGGCACCTGTGCAAGTTTACAGAAGCGTGTACCTGCGCACAGGCATTTATTAAAATAGACAGGTGTAAGCTACTGCAGTCTTTCCCAGGAGCAGAAATATGCTCGCAGTTTATTTCAGATGCCCAAAAGTGTCTGTGTGCATGAGGCCCAAAGCCTTATCCGTGTGGCCAATTCTACCATGGTGCAGCAAGTATCTTGAGGAAAACAATGGCCACGAGCCTAGGTGTGTGCAGATAGCCATGGCTAGGGAGCCTATACAAAGCAATGACAGGCTTACAGCAGATGCAGTTGTCTGCTGGTGTTCAGAGCTATTTGTAAAGTAGGTGTTTTGAGGGGCAGCACAGTGAGTAAATGGTTAGCAATTCTGCCTGGCAGTACTAGGGTCATTGGCTCAAATCACAGCCATGGCACCACCTGCCTGAAGTTTGCATGTTCTCCCCTGTGTCTGCGTGGGTTTCCTCTGGTAACTCCAGTTTCTTCCCACACTCCAAAGACATGCTGGGAGGTTAACTGGCTCCTGAATAAATTGGCCTTAGTATGTGTATGTACAGTTGTGACCAAAATTATTCAACCCCCAATGCTGTAAAGGGGTTTAGGGACTATAGTGTACATTTGGAATTGTATTCAGAATCAAATCCTACAAGGACGTTGTAACTACCCAAATGCAACTAAAATGACATCAATTGTTTATGTAATACAGTAGTAAATGGTTCTTATGTGGTTTCTTCATTGCCACAATTATTCAACCCCTTAAAGACTACCACTCTGAAGAACAGAGGTTCATACAGGTGCTTTCCATCAGGTATTGAAAACACCTGTGGATGTCACCGAGCAGCAATCAAGCATAATAAGCACACCAATTAGGCAGCTTTAAAATGACTGTGATACTCAGCTCCTTCTAGACATTTACTGGTGTGGTTACAAACATGGTGAAGGCAAGAGAATGGTCCAGGAAGACAAGAGAAGAGGTGATTTCTCTTCACAGGAAGGGCAATGGCTATAAGAAGATTGCAAAGATGTTAAACATACCAAGAGACACCTTAGGAAGCATCATTCGCAAATTCAAGGCAAAGGGCACTGTTGAAACGCTACCTGGTCGTGGCAGAAAGAAGATGCTGACTTCGACTGCTGTGCGCTACCTGAAGCGTAGAGTGGAGAGAAGTCCCCGTGTGACTGCTGAGGAACTGAGAAAAGATTTGTCAGATGTGGGTACAGAAGTTTCAGCCCAGACAATAAGACGCACACTGCGTAATGAAGGCCTCCGTGCCAGAACTCCCAGGCGTACCCCCTTGCTGTCTCCAAAGAATAAGAAGAGTCGACTGCAGTATGCCAAAAGCCATGTGGACAAACCACAAAAGTTGTGGGATAGTGTTCTGTGGACTGATGAAACAAAATTAGAACTGTTTGGGCCCATGGATCAACGCTATGTTTGGAGGAGGAAGAACAAGGCCTATGATGAAAAAAACACCTTGCCTACTGTGAAGCATGGTGGAGGGTCAATCATGCTTTGGGGCTGTTTTGCTTCTGCAGGTACAGGGAAGCTTCAGCGTGTGCAAGGTACCATGAATTCTCTTCAGTACCAGGAGATATTGGATGGAAACGTGATGCAGTCCGTCACACACCTGAGGCTTGGGAGACGTTGGACCTTTCAACAGGACAATGATCCCAAGCATACCTCCAAGTCCACTAGAGCATGGTTGCAGAGGAAAGGCTGGAACATTTTGGAGTGGCCATCGCAGTCACCAGACTTAAATCCGATTGAGAACCTCTGGTGGGACTTAAAGAAAGCAGTTGCAGTGCGCAAGCCTAAGAATGTGACTGAACTGGAGGCCTTTGCCCATGAAGAATGGGCGAAGATACCCGTAGATCGCTGCAAGACACTTGTGTCAAGCTATGCTTCACGTTTAAAAGCTGTTATAACTGTAAAAGGATGCTGTACTAAGTACTAAGATTGAATGTCACTTGGGGGTTGAATAAAACTGATAATGCTGTGAGCACAGAAAAGACATTTGTGGTTATTTCATTATAACTGTTATGTTATATTTGTCTGACCTACAAGTGCCTCTTTAATGTAAATGTAAGCAAGATGACTGAATGATCAAAAGCAATGTCAAACTGGCCAAAACACTCAATTTCAGTGGGGGTTGAATAATTTTGGTCACAACTGTATGTTATGGAGCTTAGATTGTACACCCCTTGAGGGTTAGGGACTGATGTGAATGTACTATATATATATATATATATGGAAAAAATAGGGATTTTGAAACAAGTGCTGCCTCTCAAGGAGTGACCCAGACATACATAACTGTACTGCTAGAAAGGTATGTTTATTTACATGAATTACTTTTGACAATATAGTTAGAAAATAAAGATAAAAGAATACATGGTTACAAAACTCCACACTATAAATATGTTTAATCACCCCCTGGGGCCAGCCCATAAATATTGTACAAACAAATGTAACTATCAATAGATAAACATCTGTGCGTC